AAAAAAAAAAAAAAATGAAAATCAAAATTTCTACCAAAAGAATCAGGGCGAGGCGTGGGATTAAATAGGAGAGATGAGATCAAAGGTGCGAACATGTAGATATCAGATTTCATGTAGTTGAAGATACTCTCCCTGTTTTTTCGCTTTTCCCATGTTCTTTTTTATGGGGGTTTTCTTCTTCTTCGCGTGGAGAGCAATAGAGGTTACTTTTTTCTCCATTACCTTAATTAAAAGATAAGTTACTAAAATTTGAATTCTAGGTATAATTAAAAATATTTGTAGCTTCTTTAGGTAATTTTAAAAATAAGTACTACCTCTTATTCTTTTTAAATGTCATTTTGGCTTTATCAACTATTAACCAAATAAATGTCGTTTTAGATCTTTCGTACATGTTTTTTCCATTATTACCCTCATTTAGTCAATAAACACACCACGTCTTTCCATATTCCCTCTTCATTTTTTATCAAAACATTCATCTCTATCTTCATTAAATAGTGTTATTATTGACAGCAAAAATATTCTTAATTATTGTGCAACTTCTCAAAACGACATTTATTTTGAATAGGAGGAAGTATATAAAAGGTAGAAAAGTGTAATATAATTTAAATGTGTTAGTATATGGTGCAATTTTCTCTTTTAAATTTTGCCTGAATCCAGGGTGTTAAACCAGAAAAACCTCTGTGTTGCATTTCGTATTTCATTTCATTGGATAACTAACACGCGCAACTGTGTAACCTCCTAAAAAATGAACAGGCGAACCATCTCGGACAATAAAATGCATAGGCTTTGAGTTCACTTTCTTTGCGTGTCATTCATCTAACGAAACAAAATGCAAAAGAAAACCTAAAAGTACAATATGATCTCATTCCCAAAAAAAAAAAATCTCTTTTACGAAATCTATATCTGTTTTATATACGGTCACCTAGACTTCAGGCCCTGCCTGCAAATTTCCTCGGGTCCAGACCCATACCAGTGGGCCGTCCGTCTCTTCATTCTATTAAATCCATCAACGCATTGGCTCATATTCAAAGCCCAAACTTTGTTCCTTGCATAAGCCAGTTTTTTCCCTGCAACTTCATCAAACAGCATCTCCCACCCATTTTCCCACTTTCTGCGTGCATCACAAAGCCTAACCGAGTTTTCAGTCCACTCGGTCCAACTCCAGCCTCTAGCAAGCCCATTCATGATAGGCCTAACACAAGATCCAGTGCACACGGGCCGGCAAGGTCTGCACTTCATGCCATTAAGTGGGCCAGGGCTCGACAGCGCGGCCACTGGCACCCCAAACCGGTCAGGAGGAAACCCATATTTACGATCAGTCACTACACAGAAGGGCAGACGGTTGGTGGTGAATTCAACCTTTTGGGTGGTGAGTTGGGCCTTGAAAGCAGACTCCGAGTTGAGTTTGGTAAACCCAGCTGATTTCAGCCGAGGGATTAAGGAGAGTCTCGAAAGTGCTACAACCGAGGTATTGTAGTCTCCTACTCCGAATCGATCGTTGAGGCCACGATAGACGGAACCAGGCGGAATTAAATATTTGGCTGGAATGAAGTTTTCGGGGCCCAATGGGGCGGACCAGTACCCGTCGACTCTTGTTCGGATGACCCAGTCGTAAGTGAAGTTGTTCTCTTCTTGATATGCGTTGATCATTTTTAGGCAGCCTTCTACAAGGTTGAAATACTGCAACAACCCCTGCAGCAAAATGTGAATAGTATTTTAATCAAACTAATAATAAGAGGAAAATATAATACTTGGGCACACGGGTAGAATGTGCACCTGTATACCGTTGGGCGAGTGAGTAGCCGTCAGAACCTGGACCTCCGACTCAGTCTCGGGTATGGGTTCGGGTTTAAATATTCTGACAGCAGCTATCCTGGGTGCATCGTTCAACAGCAGAAGCTTGTACGCGTTCGAATCCAACGGGCTGTGGAGAAAAAGATCCGAATTTTCATAAACCCGGAGAATCCTCTCCACAATTGACGGCCCGGTCAGCTCGAACCTGCGGGCCCCGCCCACCAAACAAACGGCGATTCTCGACTCGTTTAACGGGTTCTCGAGTCGGACAGGATGACGGCCGGTCGGAGCACAGCCGCCGCTAAATGTGGATTTGACAGGAGCAAAACAGCGGAGAGAGATGGATAGCGAGGCTGGGGAGGATAAGAGAGAAACGTTGGCTAGGAATGTGACGGAAAATAGGACGAGAATCAGGAGTTTCCACTCGAGATGGAGGGCCCGTTTTGCGAATTTTGTCGGGATCTTTGCCAGGTTTTTCATTCTTGCTGTATAACTGCTATAAATCATCGTTTTGTGTTTTGTTGTTATGTAGAACACTAATTTCGGATTTTCAGGACTTCACCCTTTTGTACAACTTGATCTATTTAAAGATTCGTTTCAAATTATTGAGCTTAAGGAGCAAGTTAATGATTTGAAAGACCGACTAAGTCAACAAGGTGCAAGTATCAATAAACTTATGGCTGCCACGGGGACAAATATGAGATTGTTAGGCTTATTTATTTATTTATTTATTTTATTTTTTTTTTGCGATTATTAGTTTGTTTATTTATGTTTTTGATTGGCAAAATTACTATTATTGTTTTTTTTTTTTTTTATCATCTAGGACATATTACCATCATATATTAATTATTAAAGGATTTGTCATTGTATTTTATTTTTCATGACATATTTGTTTAGAGTGACGATAGATTTTATAATTGTACTATATATTTCATGACAATTAAATTTATCACCAAATATCTGCAATTAATGACGATTATTATATTTATAATAAGGACAAATTTTAAATTTCGGTGATTTTTTTTTTTTCAACATGTAATTGCGATGTATTTGTTTGAATTTGTCACCATATAAAATGTTAAAATGATAATAAATTTTGTCACTAAATATTTATCTTTTCATGACAACTTATATTGTCATATATCTCAAGCTTTTGATGACAATATTTTTTTCGTAATCACAGAGCTAATAATTTCATTACACACGAATCTGTCGTTTTTGTATGTTTTTGGAGACAATTAGTATTTCGTCACTATTTTAATTTTTTTTGTGACACTTTTGTTATCGTCATATTTAAAATTTCTTTTTGTGACGACCAATAGTTTGTAATTATAAAATAATTCATTCATGACGAATTATATGAATATGACTATTATTATAATGAAAAATGTCACAAAATATTCTTCATTGAAATTTATAAATTTGATAAAAAAAAAAACGTCACTAAAAAATAATATTTAGATGACAAAGTTAAGTTTTCATCATATAAAACTTGTCTTTTTATGACAAAATAATCATTTACATGACAAAATTCTCATAATAAACATGACAAAATTATTGTCACGAAAAATGACCAAATAACATGACGAAACTGAACGTCATTAAAAGTGAAATAATTGGTGACAAATTCGAAATTCGTCACCTAGACCTATTATGACGCGGCTACGATGACGATCTTTGTGACGATAAAATTTCGTCATCAATCTATTGTTGGGATGAAAAACAAGGTTTATATTTTCTAAAATTTCTCGTAGTGGAACATACTAGTTGTTAAGTGCAGAAGGGATTTTGTACGCTAAATACAAAAAGATTTAAAAAATATAAAAAGTTTTGAAATAAATTATATTTGTACGAGTTTTTCTGCTACATACAAAAATATTTGAAAAAGTTGTTTTAGTGTAAGGAATGTTGTACGCAAACGGTTACGATTTAAAATTAAAGACCCACTTAATGTTGCTTTCACTCTTTTACTGTTTATAGTATGCATTTAGGGAGCGTTTACTTCGCGGCTTTGGGACATGATAAGAAAATTAGTCCTGACTATACGACATTTACTTCGCGGGTTTGGGACAGGATTTTAATGACATGGCACATAGGTGGCAGCCTTCCATCCGTCACTTTCTGATTAAAAAATCCCGGCATGGACCTCTGATAATTTAATCCCGTTTTTTTATACATTTTTTACCCTCATCTCATTTAATTCATGAAAGTAAATGAGGAATTCATTTATGCAAATTCCATCTCAAAAAATAAATGAAGGACTAAATGCTGACATGGAAAGTGGATATGATTAATTTGTCTTATCCCATCATGCAAAGTAAACGACCCCTTAATGTTTTTGGTGAAAAATACTTTTTAAAAGTGAATTAATCTTGTTCTTATTATATATTTGTAGATTTTCATAGAGATTTTTACAATAGGCTAAAAAATGTTAGAATCATTAATTACAACTAAAATTAATAATAATAATAATAATAATAATAATAATAATAATAATAATAATAATAATAATAATAATAATAATAATAATAATAATAATAACAACAAAAGCTTTGAGTGTTGATATGGAAAATTATAAAATTAGAATATTGGTTGCATTTTCGGTAGGACTATTCGCATTTTTCCTTGGAATTTGATGATATATATTTTTTTTTTAATATATACAGATAGATTTTGAAGAGAAAATAAGTCTGAAGATATATGCATTCGGGCTGGCCCACGGGCCTGAAATGGATTTTCTTTGTTCTTTCCTACAGTGGGGCAAGACAGACATTTTGACTTCCCTACTACAAAATCATGCTTATGCACCGTCTAAAATCAATTATAAGAAATCTTTTAACTAAGACTATTGAGAAAAAGGCATCACACATTATTCTATGGTAACTTTTTTTTATTATAAAAAATGCAGGTATAATGATGTAAAGACGAATGACTTTTATAAATAATATAATATTGCATCACACATTAGAACTTTTTTTAATTATAAAAAATGCAGATATAATGATGTAAAGACGAATGACTTTTTATAAACTAGTTAAAGTGTACGTGCATCGCACGTGGCGCTGAATGTTTTTTACCGATTACATTTTGTAAAATTAATTAATTATTTTATTTAAACATATCATTGCATGATCTAAATAAAATATAGAACAAATAAGCTTCTATTGTTTTTTTAATAACATAATGATGTCCTAATATAAATATAATAAATAACATATTACAACCCCAAGAAAAATACAGTGCCTAATGGAAAAAACGCTAAATAACTAAATAAGAACATAATGTATATTATAGATGCATTAGTTATTTATTTAACTATGTAGATGATTAGAGAGTGAATTTCTTTCATTTCGTTTTGACGTTTTCATAATAAATATTCATAGTCGTTGGAGCTCAATACATTAATAGTACTTCAAATTCGTCTTAATTCATTTGGCAAAACGTCTACTTTATTCAAACATTTATGAATATTTTTGCTAAACATATGATCAAATTTCTTGATTGTATGATCATTATAAGGTATTTCTACTACCAGTTCATGAATATCTTTGTAAAATAACCAACCGTATTATTAAATTATTGATATATATATTATGATTGTATAAACAACTTCATTAATATGTCCATATAGAAAAACTTATGGGAAAATAACTACGTGAAGAGAAGGTTAGAATGGAGAAACTAATTTAGATCTAATAATCAATTAAACCTCGTGTGATCATCAAGATCAAGATCACTAATTATGTGGTCTTCCGTATCCATTAAGTATTTCGTATAGACCAAATTATTTATTCAAGATCCACAATGAAGTTAACATGTGGCAGCTATATGTTTTCTCATTACCTAGTCTTACATTTTTATTACATAGAATATCATTCTTACCTCTTGTTTAGTTACTATAATACTACTAAAATAATTAAAGACTTTTCAACCTAGATGATGTTGTTTATTTTGAAAATATTACTAATTATCATAAATTAAATGAAAATTACATTAAATGTGTTATATTTTCCATCATTATCAATAATTTTTATAATAATTAGTTGCACGCTATATTATATATAACGTAAGTTTTTTTAGTGATCATTTACAATCCTACTTTTACTACAAGAAAAATGATGAAATTTCAATGAAAAATTTCAACAAAAATATATTACAGTGCAATTAAATCTATATATGAATTAAAATAATAAAAATAGAATAGTATGCCCATCTTTCTGATTGTGGCGTGGTCTCTTAGGGGTTCGGAGGTCCTTCGTGCCCCTCGTTTGGTTCGGATGACTTAGCTTTTTATATTTTAATAATTACTATTATGTCCATAAATTCATGTCCAAATACATATATTATATCATGTGTTATTTTATTATTTATACTACTCGATACTTTATTTTTCGAATAAGACATTTGAGTAGTTTTATATCTCATGTATACTTAATAATTATTACAATTTTTTCATTAAAAATAATACAAATATAAGGACTTTTTCTAGTCCGTGCAAATTTTTACAAAATTATTCCTCCTTTTATATTAGTATATATAGATATTTTCTTGATCCATAAAAAATAACTACATGTCTATTAAAGTGTTCAATCATTTAATAAAAAAGCAATAAGGACCATTGTCTGTTTTTTCGTAATTGATGATTTATCACATACTATTAATCACACGTCGCATGATAACCCAATAAGTTAACTTATTCTGACACAATACATTATCTTATTTATTTTGTAGTTATAGTTATTAATTAATCTATCATGAATAGTATTCTTTATCTATTCTCTATTTATTAAGTCACGAAGATATTCTCAAATGTTTATATGCGCAATCTATATTCATGAAATAATTGTCTTACTTAATAAGACACTTAAGGTAACATGAACTTACTAGAACATTTTTAATACTAGTAAAGTCCACGTGCGATGCACGTGGTGTCGAATGATTTTCGCGGAGTAAGTTTGTAAAATAAATCAATTTATTTATTAAACATATCATTGCATAAATGAAATAAAATATAGAAAAAATGAACTCACATGTAATTTTTTTTATTTAGAATTAACGTAATGATGTCCTCATATAAAAATAGTGAAATAACGTTTTACAAACCCCAACAAAAATATATATAAAAAACAAATTCCTAATAAAAAAACACAAATATTTTCTTTCATTTTAGTTTTAACGTTCTCATAAGAACATTCATAGTCGTTGGAGTCCAATACGTCAATACTATTGTAAAATTCCTCCTAATTAATTTGGCAAAACGTCAATTTTATTCAAACACTTAAGAAACTTTCTGACCCAACATATAGTCAAACTTCATGATCGTATGATCTTTATAACAAGGTACTTCTACTAACAAAGAATAAATATCACTATGAAATAACTATCGGTGTCACTAAAATTGCTGATATTTTTTATCACTGTATAAACTACTACATTCCTCTATCTCTAGATATATTGGTGTCTACACCATTGATGCATCG